GCACACACACACACACGCACGCTCACACACACACACACACACACACACACACACACACACACACACACACACACACACACACACACACGCATCAAACACAATGCGCAGCGTGGCGGGCGCATGGATCGAGTAGAAGTGAAGGAACGACTCGACGTGGACGATGCAACCGGGTCAGAGCTGTGGTCAAAGACGAAGGTGAAGACAAAGAAGTTGAGAAAGAAAGGCCACCCGGGCGTGCGCGCTGACTGGTCGTCGTTTGTCACGACTGCAAAGGCTCGCGTCTCTTCACGTCATCCTCATGCGGCAGACGTGCATGTGGAGCATGCTGTCATCAATGTGCTGCCACAGACTATTCCTGCCATGGCACTGGAAGCAGTGCGCGACTTAGACAGCTGGCTTGCTCAGCTAGATGCTGTGTTGAGTGCAGATGCAACCAAGATCTCATCGCCTGACCCACAAGCACCAGTCCAGCAATGGCACTCCGTGTGCTTTGAGAGCGGCAGCAGAGCTGCGTTGCAGGCGGTTGCACATGATCTCGAACCCCTGGCCACATTGCTGCTTGACAGTGCGCCCACATCTCTCCGTCCCGCTGGCGATGACGGTGACGATGCTGATGTTGACGCTGGTGCTGATGTTGACGCCAAGAGTGGCGATGCACGCCGTGGAGATTGTGATGTGGAGTGCGTGCGGGGTGGCTATCCTTCATGGATCGTGCACGTTGCAAAGAACCACAGCCAACACAGCGAGTGATTGGAGGTGGCGTGCTGGGATCCGACTGCGAGGTTGTGCTGCAACAGATGCTGCTTGTTCCCTGCATGCCCTCTGTTGCTCTTTCCTTTATTCGTGGGGACTTGTAACACCTGCCTTACACCATGCTGTAACAGCCCATACATACACGAATCTATCTAACTCACAAGAACCTTTCATGCTTCATGGAAGACAGAGGGGGAAAACACACACACACACTCACTCACACACACACACACACACACACACACACACACGAACACACACACACACGCGCGCGCCCACACACACGCACGCACACACACACACAGACACACACACGAACACACACACACACGCGCGCGCCCACACACACGCACGCACACACACACAGACACACACACAACGGCCATGCACGCAGACTACACTGCGAATATGACGTTGTTGATGTTGCGTATCTGCCAGCCCACGACCTCATCTCCCACAATGTCGCCCTCAAACTCCCACTCGTGCACGATGCAACTTGATGTCGTCTCTGGCGGCAGTGCCTGCAACACCTCGCTGCCGCGCTGTTGTTGCTGCTGCTGCTGCTGTTGTTGTTGCTGCTGTTGTTGTTGCTGTTGGTGTTGTTGACGTGGAGATAGGGCAGTTGAAGACTTGGTTGCTGAGGCTGGCTTGCTTGGTCTGGCCATGAGCCACGACCAGACCTTGGCGATGAGCGACGGCGCGTGCGACTTTGCCGCCGCGCTGGCCTTGTGGGCTGACGGCTTCTGTGCCTCGCCATTCTTGCCGCGTTGCCTCTCCCATCCCTTTGCTCGCGGGCGACTGATGGCACCGGTCTGTGTGTCGTGTGCGTCGAGCGGCGGCTGCTCGCCCGTGAGTTCGCGCACCAGTGCCACGGACTCCTTCAGCGGCGTGTACGACCACGAGTAAGTGTGCTGGAAGGCAACGCGTGCAACCAGCCGCTGTGGGCCGTGCTGGTGTAACCGGCTGGCCAGCTGATACTCAGGACCCAATGCCCCTTCCATCAAGTGGTGTCTGAACGTTGGGCAAAGACACACAGGAATGTGCATGCGTGTGCATGTGTGTGTGTGTGTGTGTGTGTGTGCTTTTGAGGGAGAAAGAAAGAGAGTGTGTGTGTGCTTATGTTCAGATGTGCAGGGGAGTTGTGGCGGTCGCTTGGTCATGTCGCATCACAGTGGCGCAGGCACGCGGTGATGGCTTGCTTACCTGACTTCCTCCGGGGAGAACAGGCCAAAGAAGACCTTATTCCGCCTATCACAAGACCCACGGCGGACCCGAAGGCGCAGAAGTTGTGGCTCAGGATCTTCCAGCACCTACATCGTCAGTCAACCGACGGTGTGAGTGGGCTTCAGATCATGCACGCACAGACACATGCGCACACACACACACACACACTCGCACACACTCACAGACGTGGGACGATTGCTGGCTCAACATACACATATGCTCACCTTGATCGTTGGCAAGACACCGTGCATGATGTACGCACGGCGCCAGTCGTCCAGGAATCGTCCCAGCCTGGGGGAAACCATGGGATCGTCGACGAGGGCTGGCGTGAAGCGCAGGAAGACAAGCGAAAAGGCAGCAAGTAAGCAAGTACGGTAAGTGTGCAACAGAAGCAGGCGCGCGTAGAATGACATCAACACACACACACACACACACACTCACACACACACACTCACACTGTGTCGCACCGTGGGTGTTGAGTGCAGTGACGAGCGTTTTGAAGGCGGTGAGGAAGCCTGTGCGCAACTGGTGGAGGTTGACGTTGAGCTTCAAGTTGCCTTGCTTCTCAACGGCTTCCATGAGTTCAGCATCAGTGCGAGGCCGCTCATCCCCTGCGCTTCGTCCAGCAGCAGCACTCTCGTCCCCAACAGCAGCACTCTCGTCCCCATCATAAGCAACAGCAGTGTGTGTGGCATCGTTGTTGTGCGTGCTCGTTGCAGCTGCCGCCTTCGTTGGTGGCGGCTGGAAGGACCAGGGCAGCGTCAGCCCTCTTGAGAGCTGGCCAAAGCTGACGGCCTTGCCTTGCCACGGGTCGCGGAAGCGACGGAACATGTGCCATAACCCTCCCCGAGCCATCCCCTCCCCACGATTGCTTGCTTGTCGCTTTCTTGCTTCTTGCGCAACCATGAAATGATGATGATGACAGGAGGGAAATCAAAACAAACAAAGGCAAGCAAGCAAGAAGCAAGACGAGACATTTGGTTCTGCTGCTGTACTGTGGTGCCTCGCAGCACACACACACCCACACACATAAGACATACACACTCACACACTCAATCTCTGTGCTGTGGTTAGGCTGTGGTTGCGTGGTGGAGGTACTCAAAGCCGATGTTGTCGAAGATCTTGCGGGCCTCTGCAGTGGATGCGAGGCGAGCGCCACACTCGCAAAACTCGGGCAGCCCACCGCCGCCCTGCTGGTGGCTGCTGCCGTCACCATTGTCGCCGTGGTTGTCGCTGCTGCCGGTCAAGGCTGTGGGCAACGCAGCGGTGCATGTTGGGCATACCGGGAAGTGCGTGTCCGCGCTCACCACAGCAGACCGATCAAGCATGTCGCTTTCCATCGAGGATGCCACTGCATCACAGAAAGTCGTGTTCGATGTCAGGGTGAGTGAGTGGGCGAGTGAGTGGGCGCGCGCTTGAATGAGGGAGAGGTACAACAACGTGGGGCATACACAAGCGTACGCACACACGCACGCACACATGCACACATACACATACATATTACGCACACACACACACACACACACACATTACGCACATACACACAAACACATACACATTGCGCACTGACCGAGCTCTGGGATGGTGGAAAAGTTGGCAGTGCGGTCAAGAAAGTACTCGCCCTCCTGGCCACGGATGGGGAAGTGGGCAACAGAGGCAGGCGTATTGCGCACGCTGAGGATGAACAAGGGCATGTCGGCGCCTTCCATTGCCGCGTGGTCGTGGCTGCTGTGCCGGCCGCCATGAAAGTGGTGTGGCCGCTCCTCAGTATCGGGTGCGACACGCACGAGAAAGTCGCCGAGTGCAGACGAGTCCGTGCGCAGGCGACGCTCCGCCTCATCCCGGCTTATCCTGCACCAGCAACACAGGTGTGTGTGTGTGTGTGTGTGTGTGTGTGTGTGTGTGTGTGTGTGTGTGTGTGTGTGTGTGTGTGTGTGTGTGTGTGTGTGTGTGTGTGTGTGTGTGTGTGTGTGTGTGTGTGATGCGACGGGGTCGTGGTATTCATCAGTGATGGGGCTGCTGATGACGAGTTGGGCTGAACAAGAAGCTGGGATACGTGTATGGAGCGCAGATGGAGACAGGCACCCGCCAGCAAGCATGCCGTGACGCTCCCCCCCCCCCTCCATTTGCAGTGTACAAGCGAGCGCAAGCTTAGAGTGCCTCACCTTCCGTGGAACCACGGGTAGCGAAGAAGGCCGCGCAGCCTTGGAAGCGAGGTTGCACGGCATGTGTTGCACATACGAAACTCTTGGAAGCTCAGTGGCTCGTTGTGCAGGCACCCATTGCAGACAGCCTTGCCGCAAAGGTCACAGTGCGACCTACATGTACGTACACGTGGGTGTCGTGTGAGACAAGAACATGTTACCTTTCGGCCAATGGCAGGTGGCCGCTTTGGGCCGCTCGCACACACACACACACACACACACACACACACACACACACCTACCTTCTGCGAGCTGCTGGGAAGAACCAGACAAAGGCCTCATGACAGACGGCACACGCTTTGGCATGTGGCTCCACGGGCACAGCCTTCTGCACGGCCTGTATTCAAACACAAACAAACAACACCATGACAAGTGAGCTGGCTGGTTCTGATGTGTCGCAGCAAGTGGTCTGGCATCACGCACGCCCACAGCAGTGCACTTGCACACGTGCACCGTGGCCAAGAGCCGCACACCTCGGGCATGGAGACGACACTCGACATGGCGCACTGTTTGTTTTTGTTTGTGGTGTGTGTGATTTGAGGAGCCTGTGTGAATTGTGTTCGTCGTCGTCATCATTTTCATCAACGAAATGCGCACAAACAACGAAGATGACGCAAGCGACTTGTTCTTCCATCTTCGACTTGTGTTCTGCGTTCATTCGTGGGCGAACGTCAAGTATCGCAGGTGCCCCGATGTGTGTGTGCGTGTGTGTGTGTGTGCGTGTGTGTGTGTGCGTGTGTGTGTGTGTGTACGAGCGACAAGTTGCAATGGGCTTGGTAGCATCGAAGCAAGGCGCCAAGTGAGGGGTGTAACGGCGGGCCAGCATAACTCAGAAAAGGAAGGGAAGACAGTCAAAAGAGAGAGCGAGAGTGTGTGTATGTGTGTGTGTGTGTGTGTGTGTGTGTACAGATGATGTTGAGATGACACGAGCAAAGGCAGGTTGTTGCTGAAGAGGCAAAGAGATGATAAAGATGGTGGAGGGAAAGTGAGAAGGCTGCTGTGTCCTATCGGCTGTATCATTCCGATTGCGCTGGTTCATCGCTGCCCTCCTCTTCCTCTTCCTCTTCCTCTTCCTCCACCTCGTGCAGCTCTGCCCTCAGTAGCGTCATGGTCTCGATGCCTCGCCCAAGATACTTCCACTCTGTCCGCCCAGTTGCCTCTGCGTTTGTGTTGTGTGAATGTTGTGTGTGTGTGTGTGTGTGTGTGTGAATGCGTGTGTGTGTGTGTGTGTGTGTGTGTGTGTGTGTGTGTGTGTGTGAGGGAGAGGCTGGAGAGACATCGGGGCAAGGCGTGCACTGCTGAGCATCACAGCCGTTCAGTTCCAAGCGTGCAGCTCGCACACGGGTTTGCAAACAAACAAACAAACAAACACACACACACACACACTCGCGCGCGCCGTCAACCTGCTTGTGTTGCTTGCAAGATGAGGTTGGTCCCAAACGCCTCTGCCCGGTGGGTGAGAAGATGAGGGAACGTAGCGGTGCGGAGAGACATGTCAGTGAGAAGGGCACACGAACGACGCATGAAGACCGCACACACAGCTACACACACAGCTACACACACACACACACACACACACACACACACACACGCACAGCTACACGCACAGCTACACGCACAGCTACACGCACAGCTACACACACAACTTCATGTTTCCCTGTACCTGAGTACTGTCCAACAAACACGTCTGATCCCATGCGAAACACGGGCTGCGCTGTGTGCGCACCCTGTCAACACAAAATCCCACCAACAAGGGAATTGTGCATGAACCAAGCACACAGAGAAAGGAATCAGCAATGGTGGTGAGCATGTACACTCTCACACATGAACGAGACTGGCTGTAGGGCAGTGCCCGTGTTGTCGTGTGTTGAGCACCTTTCCAACAACACCGAATACGTTGCAGCACACGCAACAAGAACAACACATGCAAGCACGAGAAGGAAGGTGGCACCAGATGAAAACCTGCAGGTGTGCGCAACATACCACGACTTTGAAGGTCTCTGGTCGAAGATTCAGGCCAGCATACTTTGAATTGTGCACCGTGGCAACCACGTACTCCGTCTAAATGGTACATCGAGTGGTGACGGGGATGCGGAGGCGAGCAGTCATGTGCATGTGTGAAATGTGATGTGACTCTGGCATGTGTGACAGAATGCGATTGTCAAGCAAGATCCACACGTGATGTGACCATCACACACACACACATGCACACACGCGCACACCCAAACTCATGCACACACACGCACACAATCAATCAATCAAACGAACCTCCCACTCATTGTCGTCTTCTTCATTTCCATTGTGTTGTTGTTGCTGTTGTTGTGCCTCATTGCTGTCAGTGCTGGTGTCACTGATATCGCTGCCAGCACCTGTTGCCACCCCTCCTTGTTGCTCCCCTGCTGCCTCTTGTCCACCACCACTCCCTTCTGCTCTCCCACTCCCGCCACCAGCTGCTGCTGCTGTTGTTGCCTGCATATCTGCCCTTGTCACCCGCAACACTGAAATCAGTTTTTGCCGCTGCTGTCTTGTTTGTGTGTGGGCGATGAGGAAGACAAGTGTTGCTCTGCTTCGCGCTGCTGCAACTGCTGCAACTGCTGTCTGCACAGGCAGTGTTGGCGCTGGCGTAGCTTGTGCCGCTGGTGGAGGTGGAGGTGGAGCAGCAGCAGCAGCAGCAGCAGCAGCAGCAGCAGCGAGTGTGCGCGTGCTGCGCTTGCCAGGCCTCATCCCTTGGCTCAACGCAACACGCATGCAGCGCGCCCTCGTTGACACATACACGCAGGTGAACAAACACAGAGAAGCAGTGTTGTGTGCGGATCGGATGATGTCAGTGCATCAAGACGTGCTTGGGTGTGGTGCAGTTGTCGACGGTGGTGGCACATCATTCACGCCTCCAGTATGATCTTGATGTCATCAGGAGTGAACACAATGCCGGCGCACCACGACAATGGCAGCACTGAACGTGCACCTTTACTCGGCAGCGATCCCCAACGCCATGACGAAGAACACCCCACGTTTGCCGGCAGACAGCATCGGCATGGCCGAATGCTCACTTCCGACACGGATGACGTCCACTCGTTCCACCTGATGCTGCTTCGCGCAACCGTCTTTGTGGAGGATGCCTGTGCTCTTCGACCCATGGCCCACAGGTGCGCTTTGATCGGCCTGCCCCAATGACGAGGCCTACTTGGACCCCTTGCACGCACTGCCAGTTGGTAACGTACCTTGCTGCTGCACGCTGCGTCGCCCAACCAACTCAACTTGGCACGTGACATGTGGGCACAACTGTGGTACACGTGTGTGTGTGTCTGTGTCTGTGTGTGTGTGTGTGTGTCTGTGTGTGTCTGTGTGTATACACATTCATTCCCAACAGGCAGGATACCAAAGCCCTCAACTTGCGGCGATGGTACTTCTCACGCGGGGTGCAGGCTGTGCTGCTGCTCATCACGCTCGTCAACGCCACGTTGGTGTTCTACGAGAACCCGCAGGCGTTCTTCTCGCCAAGCACGCTGCGCCGCCGCGACATTGTGCCTACTGCCATCGAGGTCGTGTCGCTGCTTGTGCTGGGGGTTGACGCGTATCTCCGCTACAGCATGACAGGGTGGATGTTCTACAAGGTGGGCGCATGTCTGTGTGTGTGCGTGTGTGTGCGTGTGTGTGTCTTTGTGTGTGTGTGTGTGTGTCTGTCTGTCTGTCTCCATCTCTGTGTGTTGGTGCCCGGGTATGCACCAATGCGATTGAACGGGTGTTTCCCGCACACCACCCTTCTTCTCCTCCTTCCTCCTTCTGATTTCGCCTGCTTGTATTACAGATGCAACCGCTTGAGCTCGTGTATGCCGGCGCAACAACAGCGGGGCTAATTGGCTGTGTCCTTAATATGGCGATAGCGGCAGCCCCAGCATGGCACAGGCTGCTGCGCCCTGTCTACCTCAGCATACGCTGGCCAGATATGACCCTCATTGCCACCACGCTGGCGTGGAGTCTGCGCGATGTTGTGCCCCACATCGTCCTGCTCACCATCCTCAATGCCGCCGCCGCCCTCATGGCCATGATCATCTTCCCTTCAGACGTACGCGCTTGGCTGTGGTGTGTGCATCTGCATTGGTTGTTTGTTTGTGTGTATGTGTGATGTGTGATGTGTGATGTGTGTGTGCATGTGTGCATGTGTGCCTGTGCCCGTGTATGTCTGTGTGTCTGCGTGTCTGTGTTTGCAAAAGTGCTGCCAGTCAGTGGCTGCTTGGCGACACGAATTATCCCCACACTCACCCTCACCAGCATCATCACCCACATGTGTTCGCGACAGCCCAACTTCTCCACCTTCTCCGATGCGCTTGAAGCGCTGCTCGTGTTCACCTCCGGATCCAACAGCCCAGATGTCATGCTGCCGTCCCTCAACCAGACGTATGCGCGTGTTTTGTGTGTGTGTGTGTGTGTGTGTGTGTGTGTGTGTGTGTGTGTGTGTGTGTGTGTGTGTGTGTGTGTGTGTGTGTGTGTGTCGAATCGGGGCTTCATATGAATGCTTGCGTCTCACACCACGAGCCATCCTGTGCTCTTGCGGTTGTCTTTTTCATCAATCTCCAGGTCGCTGTCTGTAATATTTTTCTTCGCGCTGTCGATCCTCAGCACGGTCCTCATCTTGGGCATTGTCCTCGCCACCATCTACAACCGCAGCGTCGTCTACATGAACCAAGTACGCACACACGCACATACCCACGTGTTCAGACATGCGCACACATACACACACAAACACACATAAACACACACAAACAAACAAACAAACAAACAAACAAACAAACAAACAAACAAACAAACAAACAAACAAACAAACAAACAAACAAACAAACAAACAAACAAACAAACAAACAACCAACCAACCAAAGAAAGTATACGAACGAGTACACGCCTCACCACCCATGTGATTGCAAATGCGCATCAGGTGTCACGTCACCGGTTTGCGCAGCGCCGAACAGCGTTTCGCCTGGCGTTCCTCTGCCTCGATCGCGTCTCGCAGAATGTCGCAAGCGGCCTCATCGACTTTGTACGAGCTGTTGGTTGACTGCTGACTCGTTCGTTTTCTAGTGTGTGTGTGTGTGTGTGTGCGTGCGTGTGCGTAAGTACCCATGTACCTTCTCCACCGCTCACCACCGCCACCATCGCCATCACCACCATCAAAACCGCCACCACATCAACGTGCAGGCCACGATGCGTGCCCTCCTCAAGTCCGTGTGGCACGTTGACGACAGGCTGATTGGCGTCCTGCTGTCGCTGCTCGACAAGAACAACACGGGCACCATCAACGTGCACGAGTTTACATACATGTTCGAGCTCATGCTGCTGAAAGTAGAGCGCGTGCGACCCACACGCACGTGGGTGCGCACACACCTCCCCTGGCTGTATCGCATGTGCGACCTCGGGTGGCTCGCTGCCACCGCAGACGCTGTGCTAGTGGTGAATCTCATTGTGCTGGCTGTCGACCTCACAGCATCGCCGCCGGAGAAGGCGGTCGTGTGTGCGCCATATTGCGGCGTGTATCTCGCGTGTGCCATCGTCTATCTGCTGGAACTCCTCATCACCACCACCGCCCTCGGCTGGCGGCGCATTCTCCGCAACCCGCTCGGTGCGATAAGTTTTGTGTGTGTGTGTGTGTGTGTGTGTGTGTGTGTGTGTGTGTGTGTGTGTGCGTCTGTGTGTCTGTTTAGTTGTGTGTGTGTGCGTCTGTGTGTCTGTTTAGTTGTGTGTGTGTGCGTGCGTGCGCGTGTGTCTGTGTCTGTGTCTGTGTCTGTGTGCGTGCATTTCATGTGTGCATGCAGTCACAAGTGCGTGTGTGGTTGTGCGTGCACCTGACTCTGTATCTGCATGTTGCCTCCATTTCTGTGTTGACGGGTGTGTAGCTCGCTGCTACCCCCCTCCTCCTCTCTCCCTCTCTCTGTCCTTAACGTCACCCTCGCAATGCACGTCTTGCCTCTGCCACAGCGCTTGTGGACATGCTACTTGTGGTTGCCATCTTCATCGGGCAGGTCGACGCCTTCAACGGCACGTCACAGGTACGCTGGGACTACGAGCTGAATATTAATGGCGTGTTGCATTGTATTGTCCCTCGCACTGCTGCCGGGATGATGGTGCAAGCAGCACGAGCAACGCGAACACAGAGAATCAAAACATACACACACACGTCTGCACACACACACACACGCTCAGGGTTATGCCTCTCCCCCGGTGCTCACCGCTGTGCGTTACACCACACCTTGTCTTCTCCTCTCTTTTCCACTTCCAAACCACACTATCGAATGCGCGTTGGACGTGTTTGCAAACAGCTGATACCACTGGCGTTTGCGCGCGCGCTCCTCATCTGTCGCATCATGCGACTTGGAAGAATGCTCGCACGCGTCGCCCTCTTCAGGTCACATTCCCTTCTCTTGTCACACACACACACAAGCACACACGCACACACGCACACAAGCACAAGCACACAAGCACAAGCACACATGACATTCACATTACATCTGTGCCATCGTGGTGGTGCCCTGTTGCCGCCAGCACACGCTTGGTTCTGCTGCACATGCCATGCTGTCAGCTCACCTTTTTCATGCGTATCTTCATGTCCACCTGAAACACGTTTGGCCTGCGTTGTGTGCACAGGTTGATGTTCACGTCTGTGGCGCGCGTGCTGAGTCAGCTCCCTGGCCTGCTGGGTGTTCTGCTCGCCACCTACTACATATTCGCCCTCCTTGGCATCGCGCTCTTCAAGGTACACCCACTGTGCGTGTGCGTCTGCGTATGTATGTGCATGTGTTGTGTGTGTGTGTGTGTGTGTGTGTGTGTGTGTGTGTGTCTGTGTGCCTGTAGCCATTGTATTTGTGTATGTAACTGCCCCTTGGGCACGCCACTCAACTCTGCTATGAATCACGGTATCGCTCACGCCTGTCCCATCACCACCACCATCATCATCATCACCACCACCATCATCATCATCACCACCACCACTGCGGTACCAGGACCGCCTTGGCTTCAATCCCGCACTGGCAAACAGCACATACGCAGAGGGTGGTCTCCAGGTCTTCAACTTTGACACGTGCGTGGCTGCTTGCTGCTGTTCTGTTGGCTGTTCTGTTGACGTTTATCTGTGTGTGTGTGCGTTTGTGTTTGTGTTTGTGTTTGTTTGTGTGTGTGTGTGTGCGGTCACGTGTATTTGCGCTTGGTGTGTACATTGGATCGCGCACGCCCTCTGTGACGTGCTGTGAACGCATCTGATCAAGAACCACCATCAAGTGTTGACCCTGCAGTATTTTCACGGCAATCGATTGTTTTATCATGTCACACGTGCGCATGCACTGGATGGCAGGTTTGGGCAGGCGTGCATCTCGCTGTGGGTGGTGCAGCTGCAGCTAGAGATACAAGATCTCATCGATGCCTGCATGCAAGTCACGTCGCCGTGGTGCGTTCGCGTCTCCTCAGCGCTTCTTGAATTGCCTTCCTTGCTCCAAACTACTCCTCCTGGCCACCAAACACACGACACAGAAACACACACGCACAACCACAAGCGCACATGTACACACATACACACACATACACATACACACACATACACACACATACACACATACACATATACACCTTGGCTCACGCCGCACACACGCCTACACACAAACAGGTCTGTGCTTTATTTTATGGCGTGGCTGCTCGTGTCATATCTCCTCATCCTCAACGTATTCTTCGCCTTCCTGATCGATTCAGTCGATGTCCTCATCAACAGGTGTGTATGTGTGTGTGTGTGTGTGTGTGTGTGTGTGTGTGTGTGTGTGGGTGGGTGTACATTCGCACATGGGCCTGAGTGCGCTGCATGTGCGGTTTGTCGGTAACGTTCTGTGTGCGTTTGCGCCTTGAACCTGTAATCACCAAATGCTCTCCCATGCAATGCATGCACCCACACCCACTCGCACCCGCACCCGCAAACATTCATTCCCAACCGCGCCTCCCGTCTGTGTTTCCGTGTCACCCACGATCAGGCCGAAGAGGAAAGAGTACTTCCGGGTGACAGCAGCCGGCGTTCGCAAGATACAGGAGGACGAGGCGAGCACACACGCAGCCGTGCGCGATGATAGCGATGATGACGAGGACGATGATGACGATGAAGAAGGCGACGACGGTATTAGTAGCGGCGGTGGTCGCGGTGGTCGCGGTGGTGTGGATAGCCGTGCTGATGGCCGAGGTAGCAGTCGTGGTGGTGGCCATAGTGATGTGACAACTGCATCGCCAGTGGCACCATGGCAGCGTCCCCAACACGTGCAAGCGACAACACCTGAGCGAAGAGCGGTGTTGCGCGGGACAGCAGAAGGAGCAGAGTACAGGCGGAGCACAAGCCAGGAGACAGTCATGGCCACCACCACACCAATTGACAACAGCGACAAGCACGATGCAGGACCGCCTTGGCGACCACAGATTCGTTCGTCTGCTGCGGTGCGACAGAGACGCGCAGCAACCCGCAGCGAGGACAGCACAGATGCTGATGCCCCTGGTGCTATGCACCCGCAATCTGGATTGGAGGAGGAAGTGGTGGAGGGCGATGCCTTGAGCGAAGATGAGGATGCACTGGATGTGTTTGAGATTGAGCAGGAGGTGGACGAGCCCCCACCAACCACTGAACCCACCCCGGCCGCTGTTGTCATGATGACAAACACGGGCCGGGTACGAACACGCCGGCTCGCACGCCCAGAGCGCCGCACGTACGTACATGTGTTGTGTCGCGTGTTGGTCGGGCTGTGTGTGTGTGTGTGTGTGTGTGTGTGTGTGTGTGTGTGTGTGTGTGTGTGTGTGTGTGTGTATGGGGGGAGGTGGGGGTTTCGTATTGCGTCCGCCTGTCTCTCTGTTTTGTGTGTGTGTTCTCTGTCTTGCCACGTGTGACACTGGGTTTTCAATGGATATTGGTCAGCTCAGTTTTTCGCCCGCTACAACTAACTGCATGTGCACGCAACCCACAGGTCCACGGTTGTGTATGGTGTTGAGTACCGCCCCGGTTACGACACCATCATTGGCGCTGATGGAGACACTTCCTCGCAGGTTGATGCTTGTGTGTGTGTGCGTGTGACTATGCTTTCAATGATGGTGTGTGTGTGTGTGTGCGTGTGTGCGTGTGTCTATATGCTTTCAATGATGCGCGTGCCCCACTGTGTGTGTGTGTGTGTTTCTTTTTGTTATGTACTACTACCGAGCGTATGCGCTGCTGTGTGAACCACAATAACGCCGCTGCCATTGTCATCGCGCTCACAGGACAACGACGACGAACAAGACCTCGACCTGGAGGCTGTGGCGCGCATGTTCGGGTGGCACCTGCAAGACGGATCACACCACGTCGACGAGACTGCGGCGACGCAAGGCATGAGGACAACAACAACACACGCTCCTGCTGATGATGTTGACGCTGCTGTAGCGATGGAGGAGGCTGCGCTAGACGAGCACGTTGTGCTGTTAGACGCCAGCGGCACCGCAGAACGTGTCTTGCAGGCGCTGTGATGTGTTGACATGACGTGCCTGTCACGGGATGTGACGTGGGATGTGGCGGTTTCTGCGCAACAAGTGTTAATTTACGTTAATAGACTCTGTGTGTCTGTGTGTGTGTGTGTCTGTGTGTGTGTCTGTGGTGTACATCGTCGGGGAGTGTCGTTGATCTCATAGTTGACGAATACACGCACACACGTGCTGACAAGCAAGCAAGCAAGCACGGTGTGTGATTGTTGCATGCAGCATGCATGTCAGGTCAAGGCAACAAAAAAAAAAAAGGAGAGCACAACAACAACGGCGCTGAAATTCGCTCCTCCATCCACGCACTTCACAACGAACACTGCCACACCCACCCTCACCCTCACACACCTCTTCCAGTTGCCTTGCTTTGCTGACCTTGAGCAGACGACGCCTGCGGGGGCTGGCTGGGCTTCGCTGTGTGCGTGTGTGATCGCAGCATGTCCAACTTGCAGTGGGGCTGTAAGATGCACTCGAAACACTTTGCTGCCCCTCTCACTCCAGAGGAGTGTGTGGACACCATCAAGAAGGATGACCTCTTCTTCGTCTTTGAAGAGGTGTTGTGTGTGTGTGTGTGTCTGTGTGTGTATGTGTGTGTGTGTCTGTGTCTCTGTGTGTCTGTGTGTGTGTGTGTCTGTGTCTGTGTGTGTGTGTCTGTGTCTCTGTGTGTCTGTGTCTCTGGTGGTGCAGACTACAGCCACTCGTCAGGAGTGCGAAACAGCGCCTCTAGACGCTCGTAATGTCACGACTCTCTAGGGGGAGAGTTACTACGGAAGGGTTCATGTTCCCTTGCTAATACGAGATGACAGAAAATGTGTAAGAGTTGTGTAATGCGCCACAACACAGATGCTACCAATTTGATGGAATGACGCGGGTAGGGTCTAGTCCGAAGTGCAGAGTCAAAGGTGACCAGAAATCCCCCACTCCGCTCTTCTCTGTTTATCAACTCGCTACATGCCTAGGTTCAGTTGGACTACAATTCGTGGGTGTGTGTGTGTATGTGTGTCTGTGTCTGTGTGTGTCTGTGTCTGTGTGTGTGTCTGTGTCTGTGTCTGTGTGTGTGTGTGTGTGTGTGTGTGTCTCTGTGTGTCTGTGTCTCTGTGTGTCTCTGTGTGTCTGTATCTGTGTGTCTGTGTGTGGGTGTCTATGTTGAACTCCTTTACGTGCCCTTCCTTGCCTCCGCCCGTTCGTCGCACTGTGTGGTGCTTGTTGCACAAGGTCCGCACTGCCCTGGCTCACCACCCTCTGCGTGCTGGCTGACGCCGAGCAGGCCTGCATATCCTGGAAGCCGCCCAAGTACCGCGTGAAGCACCAGATCAAACTGGACCAGTCCGAGTGCGGCCTCATTCTCACAGACTACTCAACAGAGGAAAAAGTGCGTGTGTGTGTGTGTGAGAGAGAGAGAGTGTGTGTGTGTGTGTGTGTGCCTGAGTGTATGAACCACGGTGACGCCTCACTGTCCCCATGTGCCAGCCATTGCTCGCTCCATCTGTCCTATCGTTCCCCGCATGTTGATCGTCACAATACCTGACACATGATGCGTCGTCGTTTACAGCGGTACCTGCCAATCGAGCAGATCTCGGACATCCGCAGCAACCCGTTCACCGACGAGGCTGTGAGTTTGTGTGTGTTGGTGTGTTGTGGTGTGTGTGTGTGTGTGCCTGTCTGTCTGTCTGTCTGTCTGTCTGTCTGTCTGTTCGCGCGTGTTCGTGTTCGTGTCCATGCATGTCCTTGCTTGTGTGTGCGATCGACCCTCAGCGCACCTCCGTTGGACATGCCGACACGCACCTCCAACAGCCACACTCACGTACGCACATACTGCTCTCTGTTGTGGGCAGACGGGCACGGTCAAGGATGAGGAGCTGCCCCTCTTCCTGTGCATCGCCTTCTACAAGGGAACGCGTGATCTTGTCAATGTCCACTACCTCAGCCTCATCGCCAAGAGCGAGAAGACAGCCCAGGTTGGTGTGTGTGTGTGTGTCTATTATGTCTGTGTGTGTGCGTGCGTGCGTGTGTGTCTGTGTGTCTGTGTCTGTGTCTGTGTCTGTGTCTGTGTCTGTGTCTGTGTCTGTATCTGTCTGTTTGTGTGTGCGTGAGTGTACATGTGTCTGTGCCTCTCTTTTTGTGTGCAGGTCTTCACGCCTCACACCTTCTTTGCGCTCCCGCTTCCATCCCCCCCCTGCTTGTGTTCAATCACACTCCTCACCACGACAACGACCACCACCATCCCAAGATCTGGCGCGTTGGCCTGCATCGCTTGGTGTCGCAGAACACTTGGAACTCACCGCGTCCCGTCACCATCAAGGTTTGCTGCCACCTTCCCCATATACAAATGCTTCTGCCCTCACGTGCACATGTGTGCGCGAGCAGACTCCTGTGTATGACTGCATGGCGTGTCACTGCATGTCTGTCGCGTAGCCTCAACAGTGCCACCACCAACACCGTGACAATGATGATGATGATTGTGCTGCCTGCAGGACCAACAGCGGTGGATGTATGCGGAGTGCGCTGCCCAGGCGCGAAAGGGCCGCCTTGCCGTATCAGAGTAAGTCCGTTCCTGCCATTTGTCCATCTTCAAAGACACACGCACACACGCACACACATACACATACATACACATACAACACACACACACACACACACCGCACCACACCACACACACTCTCTCTCACACAGACTCAACACGACAACACGACAAGACTGCCTTGCACAGATCCACACAGGCAGAATGCCTCTTCATGCACGCACAAACGCGAATATAAACACGCACTAACTCTTGATCGTGACACCCACGATGCACCCACCGCTGCTCCCCATGCACAGCCTGGTGAACTCCGTGTCCAAGGACACGAAGCAGCAGGCGATGGCGATGTTGGAGGCCAACGGTGTTGACGTGGATGGCGACGGTCGTTTCGATGCAGCGGAGCTCACCTTCCAGCGCTACCAGGTGCGCCCACATCGTTGTCTCCTGCGCTAACCTGTGCCGTGCAGTGCAGTGCACGACGTTTCGTTGTACCCCATGCACGTGCTTCAGCTCACGCTTTGCGAGCGCACACAGATGCGATGTACGCACGCTCAGTTCACATTGTTCCAACTTCACACACACACACACGCACACACACACATACACACATACACTCTCTCCCTCGCATGGTCAACCAACCACCACCCATCACCCACCACCCGTCACGCACACGTTCGCTCAGGACTTCCTTGGCCGCGTGTATGTGCGGGAGGATCTCAAGTATGCGCTGTGCGACCTCGCCGATTCCGACGACGGTGATACCGTTGATCTTGATGCGACCATGCCCCTGCAGAAGCTTCAGTCGTTCCTCTCACAAGTACGCAGCGCTCGTGCATGCACGCACTCTGTTGTCCCTGCACGGTGCACTAGTACATCTGTGTACTTGGCCGTTTTGCTTTGCCATGCTGGGTGTTTGCCTGGTGTTCTACACCTCATACAATATGCGCACTACCGCCACGACCAACCATCACCACCATCACCATTACCACCATCACCACCACCAGGACCAGCGCGACCCGCGCCTGAACGAGGTGCTGTCGCCGCTGCCGACGCGCGAGGACTGCATCGAGATTATCGACGAATACGAGCCCAGCCAGGAGAACCGGTCTGTGGGCGCGACAGAGGAAGAGCAGGAGGAGGAGGAGTGGGTTGATGCCCTGCTGTGGCGTGGGACGTTATGTGTGGTGGTTCGTGTTTGCCTTGCGTGGAGGATTGCCTGGGTGTTAGTTGCGCGCACGTGTGCACGTTCGTGAACTATACACGGCTTGCACCTAACCCATGCTTCAAACCTCCTCCCTCTTTGCAAAACAACCCCAACGTGCTCGTGTTGCAGTGCAAATGAGGTCATCTCACTGCGTGCTCTCAACGACTTCCTGATGGACAACCTGCAATATGGCTGGGCGCGTGAGTCACGCCACGCGTCTGTGTATCACGACATGACGCGCCCGCTTGCCCACTACTTTATCAACTCCTCCCACAACACCTACCTCACTGGTGGGCAGTGGCAGTCCAAGTCGACCTTCGAAGTCTACCGCCAGTGCCTCCTTGCAGGATGCAGGTCTGTGCGTGTGTGTGTGTGTACCTGTGTGTGTGTGTGCGTGTGATGTGCGTGTATGGTGTGTGTTTGTGTGTGTGTGTGTGTGTGTGTGTGTGTGTGTGTGTGTGTGTGATGTGTGCGTATGGTGTGTGTGTGTGTGATGTGTGCGTATGGTGTGTGTGTGTGTGTACCTGTGTGTGTGTGCGTGTGATGTGCGTGTATGGTGTGTGTGTGTGTGTACCTGTGTGTGTTGTGTGTGTGTGTGTGTGTGATGTGTGCGTATGGTGTGTGTGTGTGTGTGTGTTGCAATCTGTGCTTCCACTTTGCCTCCACACCTCACTCCCCGACGCCCCTGACGCCGCTGTTAGGTGCGTTGAAGTCGACATCTGGGACGGGCAGGACGGCGAGCCGGAGGTGACGCACGGCCACACCATGTGCACGCGCGTGCCATTCAAGGGTGTGATCCAGGCCATTGCTGACTTTGCCTTTGTCAACAACCCCTTCCCCGTCATCCTCAGCTTCGAAAACCATTGCAGGTCCGCTACCAACTCACACACACACGTATACAATACCTGCACATACACACAAATATTTGCACATTTAATGGCGTCTACGCAACTCACACAAGCGGCTGCTGTGATTCCTGATCTCACACATGCCAACGCACACAACACACACACTCCTGCTCTTCCTCTACAGTCCTCCACAGATGCGAAAGATGGCTGCATATTGCAAAGCAACTTTCGGAGATCTCCTTCAAAAGTGCGCTCAGAACAACTGCTACACGCAACTTGTCGCTTGTTTGTATCCACCCTTTGTGCCTTGCTCTCCCCTCCCCCTCTTCCTGGCCTTCCCTGTTCACGCCTTCTTGCAAACTTGCACACGCACACGTGCGTATATATGCAGGGAGTTTATGGAGGGCGATGGGTATGAAACACTTCCAAACCAGCTGCCGAGCCCCGAGGCGCTCAAGTACAAGATCATCATCAAGAACAAGAAGCGCAAGCAGCGAGATGACGGCTCACGTCAGTATTGTTGTTGTTGTGGTTGTTGTTGTGGTTGTTGTTGTTGTTGTTTAAGTTGTTTAAGTTGTTGTTTTTGTTGTTGTTGTTGTTGTTTAAGTTGTTGTTGTTGTTGTTGTTTACATGTTGTGTTGCGTTTGCAAATGCACAAGAGCGTGCAACCCTGCTGATTCACTCACGGTCCACGCATGGGTGGTTCTGTGTGTTGATTTATTCCCTGTTGTGTTTTTCAGATGAAGCGGACATGCACCCCAACGAGGCCGAGACAGCGAAGGCGTACAACCGCGAGGTACGCGCTCACGCCTGTACATCGCAGGCTGTGATGTCAGGTGCTGACTACAAACTGGGCCCACGCCCACATTCCATTCCCTCGTCCACACACCTGTGCTCACGCCAATCCGTGCGCGCTCAATTGAACTTAACCATGCTCGCTCATATCTGCTCACACGCGTTTGCATGTGTGCACTGCACGGTGTGTCCAGCTCATCATTGACGGCGAAGTGATTGAGGACGACGAGGAAGAAATCAAACGTATCAAGGAACGCTCCGGGGAGATTGCAAAGGAGCTGTCAGACCTCGTCAACTACTGCACCCCATATCACTTCTCGGTGCGGTCCGGTGGATCCGTGTGTGGATCCGTGTGTGTGTGTGTGTGTGTGTCTGTGTCTGTTTGATTGTTTGTTTGATTGTTTGTTTGATTGTTTGTTTGTTTGTTTGTTTGTTTGTTTGTTTGTTTGTTTGTTTGTTTGTTTGTTTGTGTGTGTGTGTGTGTGTTTGTTTGTTTGTTTTTGTGTGTGCCTGTTTGATTGATTGTTGTTTGCTTGTTTTGTGTGTGTGTGTGTGCCTGTTTGTTTATGTGTGTTGATGCTGCCGTGTCTCTTGCATGCGCACTTCATGGCTCACCGCGCGTGTTGGGACATTTCCTTCCCGCCATCTGTGTTGCTGGTCGTCCAGAACTTTGACGTGGCGCGGGCCAACAACAACTGCTACCACATCTCGTCCTTCTCCGAGAAGAAAGCGCTTCGCCTCGTCACCGGTAAACCAGAGGTGAGTGCCGCATGCACACAGACACGCATGCACACAGACACGCATGCACACAGACACGCATGCACACAGACACATGTATACATACGCCAGCTGCGTGCTACGCTGTTTTGTTGGACACCTCTTCTCACTGCTCCCCGAAGTGCTACGCGCACGTATCAGTTTATTCATCCCCTCCCCGTCTGCTTGCGCCTGCGTGCCTGGCCTTCCCGGCCAACAGGAGTTTGTTGACTACAACAAGATGCAGCTGTCACGCATCTATCCTCAGGGCACCCGCATCAACTCCACCAACTTCAACCCCCAGGCAAGAAACGGCGGGCCATTGCCCCAATGTTGCTCTTCTTTCAGCACGCAAGCACACACCCACGACAACAGACGAACACCGACATACATGCGCAATGCCTCCGCTTCCGTGGTGTGTTCGTGCGTCTAATCGAACCACTGTGCGTGCTGTGTTGTGTATTTGCGTGAACACGAAAGGCGTTCTGGAATGTTGGCTGCCAGCTCGTCGCTCTCAATTGGCAAACAAACGACATGCCCATGCAGGTCTGTGTGTGTGTGTGTGTGTGTGTGTGTGTGTGTGTGTGTGTGTGTGTGTGTGTGTGTGTGTGTGTGTGTGTGTGGCTTGCCGGTGTCCTTTGCACACACATGTGCGCCCTCTGTCTCGCGTATGCCCTCACGCCCACTCAACAGAAACTCACGCAGCGATGTCACCACCCCTTTCAACCAACCCCCAGCTGAATTTTGGCAAGTTTGAGGACAATGCTCGCACCGGGTTTCTGCTGAAGCCAGCGCTGTACACTGAGCCGTCCAAGACGTACAACCCGTTCAACCGGCTCCCCATCGACGATGTTGTGCCCCTCAACGTCAGCGTGAAGGTTCTCTCTGTTTACGGCGTTGCCAGAAAGAGCGGCAGCCCATATGTGGAGGTGCGTCAACGCGCGTGCCACATGCTCACTGCATGGCACTGTGCACGAGGCAATGGCAGTGCTGCTCCATAGCAGTCCTGCTGTACACGTACAACAACCCAACCCGTTTGTCACTCACACTCACACACGTACACACATTTCTCTCTCCCTCTTCACTACCTGTCACTTACGCTCCTCTCACGCTGCGCTGTCGCTGTCCTTCTACTTCCGCCACCACTGCAGGTCCAGTTCTTCGGCATTCCTGCAGACAGCAAGAAGTTGCAGTTCAAGACACGCGCCTGTCGCGGTCGCGGCTTCAACCCGCGGTGGCGCGCAGACAACGAATTCACGTGCGTATGCGTGTGTGTGTGTGTGTGTGTGTGTGTGTGTGTGTCCGTCTATCTGTCTGTGTCTGTGGGTGTATGTGTATTTGCTTGCCGTTTACACCCTTTCCTCTGACTCCACAAACAACCCCGTCCCTACTTCTCGCTCGTGATCTCTCTGCACCATCAGTGCACAGCGCCTCGTGCTGCCGAGTCTCGTGCTTGTGCGCTTCGCTGTCTTTGACAGCCGTGACGGCGACTGCATTGGCTGGGACGTCATTCCCCTCACCTCCCTCCGCTCAGGATTCCGCTACATTCCTCTGCGGGTGTGTGTGTATGTGTCTATGTGTCTGCCTGTCTGCGAGTGTGTGCGTGTGAAGTCTGTGTGTGTCTGTGTGTCTGTGTCTGTGTGTATCTGTGTCTGTCTGTCTGGCTGTCTGTGTCTGCGAGTGTCTGTCTCTCTGCCTCTTTGTTCCTGTCTGTATGCCTGTGTGTTCAGTTATTGTTACTTCACACCTCTTGTTTTGTTGTATTTGTGTCGCTCACGAGCAAACCGCCAATGCTTGACACTGATAGAACGGAGTGACACGTCTCACGTCCATCTTCACCAAGATTGACATCAGCATCTTTGCGCTCTCAGAGCACGCAGACTTTGCGGATATCCTCGTCAACCCGCTTGTACGTGTGTTAATAATCCCACCAAGTCGATCCTCACGGGTGTTCTTGCTGTCTTGCTTTGCTGTGCGCTCTGTCCGTGAGGCTTCGCATCCACACACATACGCACTCATTTACGCACGCACTTGCTCACTCACTCACCCATACACACTCTCTCATTCACTCACTCACTGCACACACCTCTCACACCAACACGCCTCGCCCAGGATGCATGCAAGCCCTCTGAGCGGAACCTGATGGAGATGTCTGAGCTTCTCGCTGCAGATGAGGGCGAGGAAGAGGAAAACAACGATGTGCTCGGGTCACTCAGCATCAGTGCCGCCACAAACGGCGGTGACAAGTCCCCAGCCATTCTCCGAAAGTCCACCGTCATGCCACGTACGCCTACGCCTGTCCATGCGGTTGTGTGTGTGCGTCTGGCTGTCTCTGCTTGCGCGTTCGTCTGGCTGTCTCTGTGCTTGTGTGTGCTGCCGTACCACGGCTCATGTCCTGGCACCAAATTGCACTGCCTTTCGTTTTGTTTGTTGATAACAGAGGGCGGTAGCACCACAAGGCTGAGGATTCAAGAGCTCGCCGACTCGTACGTTTGCACTTCTGTTCCAACCCCGTCCCGCGCACCTTAAAAAGCTCGCTTTGTCCCTTGCCCTTTGTCTTCCTTTTCTTCGATCGCGGAACGTTCTCACTGTTCAGTCACGCACAGCAGCGGTGCGACCACTCACGCACTCGACTGTACCCAAAAATATTTCACCCCCTTACCGCTTTCAGGTTTGAGCGGGATCTTGCTGAGCACATTCGCGACATGCACAAGTCGTTGCAAGAGCGAACAGCACAGCTGGCGCAGCACAAGCAAGTCCTTCAGCTGAAAGGTGCGTACGTGTGTGTGTGTGTGTGTGTGTATGTATATGTGTGTGTATGTATGTGTGTGTGCGTGTGCGTGTGTGTGTGTGTGTGTGCTGTGTGATCATAAGGATCGCGTGTGCAATCGTGCCTGTTGTAATGTGCGCGGTGCTGAACGCGTTTGGAGTCTGTGTGCGTGTTGGTACGTGAATTGTTCCGCGACTGCGCCCTCATTCTGCGGTCGGCTTTGTCATCACTTCATCCAGCGTCATATGAGAAGGCCGTCGCCAAGCGGCAGAAAGAGCGCGGGAAGAAATGCGCAGACGTTGAAAAGTCAGTGCTCCATTGCATTGCTTCTGCTGCTGCTCTGCATGTCTCTGTGTGTGTGCCTGTGTGTGTATGTCTGTCTGTCTTCCTCTGTGTATGTGGGTGTGTTCCTGGCAGTAGCCTTCTTCTTTGTTTATCTGCCGTTGCGCCTGTCTGCCTTCGTGGTTTCTACAGTTTTGATTGTGTGTGATGCGCGTCCCTGTGTGTAACCCTGTTCCCCATGCCCCTTTCTCCCATATCAGAAACGCGAAAGCGCGCGTGCAGAAGACGCACAAGCAGTTGTGCAAGCAGCTGAAGGCCTTGCGCAAGGCCAACAAGGATGGCGAGCAAACGCCAGAGTTCAAGAAGGTTCGTGACCTTCTCCCCTGCACCCGCCATTGCCTTGATGTGAGACACTTGTTGTGCGGCTTCAACCTCATTGAATTCACAACTTCCAACCGTACAACAAGGCACGCACCGCGCACCCACATTGACTTGCTGACGTTGTGTTTGCTCTTCGCTACGCTGTGCTCTGTTAGCTGCTGGAGGATGGGTTCAAGCAGCTGCTGCAACTTGAGCTGGAGTTCCACCAAGGCGTGCACGATCTCCACGTGCACCACCTGAAGACGTGTTGCTACGCCCTCTCCAGCAAGCACCACGTATGATGCATTGTGTGTGTGTGTGTGAAATCTTGGCATCATCGTGTCTGTTGGCCATTGCGATGACGACTTTGACACTGTGCATGCCCATCGCTTCCTGTTGTCCTCACACCGTGTGTGTGTGTCTGTCTGTCTGCGTGTGTGCGTGTGTGTGCGTGTGTGCGTGTGTGCGTTTCTGTGTTTGCGTGTCTGTGTGTCTGTGTGTCTGTGATACTAGGACTCTGTGGCGGCTGTGATGACAAAGGTGTTGGCCAAATATCACGCGGAGGAAGAAAAGGCCTTCAAGAAGACGCTGCATGCGAAGTGGAGCCACTCCGACTCCCACCTGAAGAAGGTAGGGGCTGCGCTGCAGTTCGCAAAAGAGAAAGAGAGAAGGGAGGTAGTGTGCGTGTGTGTGTGTGTGTGTGTGTGTGTGTGTGTGTGTGTGTGTGTGTGTGTGTGTGTGTGTGTGTGTGTGTGTGCTGGAGTAGATGGTAGTAATGCTCCACAACCCCTCGAGAGCCCGCAAGCACTATCTCATGCACGCGCGAGCTTCCACTCACGATTACACACACACACACACGCACATGCCCCCACCCACTCACTCACTCACTCGCTTACACTTACTCACTCGCATGTAGGGTGATAAGGACATGCGAGAGGAGCACGAGAAGCGCATGGAACGCGTATGTTCGTTGCGTGTACATGTGCAATGAATGACCCGTTGTACACCAGCTTGTTTCTTGCTCTTTGTCTGCTTTGTAGCTAACATCTGAGCATCGAAACTGTGCTTGCTCTCCCTCTGCTTGCGTGCTGGTTGCAGGCGGCAGTGCAGCAGACGCAAGTCCTCAAGCACCTCATCCAACAAGACATGGTAATTCGCGGCAATAGCTTGTGGCTATTGTTCTGTTGTTCTGGTGCTGTGTGACTAGTGTTTGGGCGTGGATGTGGATCGGCTTGCGCTGATGGAATGCGTACGGTTATTCCTTGCTGGCAGGACACGTTCAGGAAGAAGTTGGATGACAACAAGTCCAAGCTGGATCAAGATTTCCAGCGGTGAGTGTGCAGTATCATGTCACACGAGTGGACCTGGGTTGTGTGGCTGAGGATGGTGGTGTCGCGAATGTATCCTCGCAATTTTTACACACACGTATACACGCACACTCACTTACTCACTCGCACACGCACGCACGCGCACGCACACACGAAAACAAACAAACACACACACACACACACGCACACGCACACACGAAAACAAACACACACACACACACACACACACACACACACACACACACACACACACACACACAAACAAACAAACCTACGCGCACGTGAACAGGGAGCTGGACGATGCACAGAATCGGTTTCAAGAGCTGACGGCGACACTGCAGCAGCTGATGCAGGCCGGCTACCATGCGGACGAGAACAGCATCAAGTCAGTTGCCTGTGCTTGTTGCTGCTGCCGCCGCTGTTGCGTTGGTGTTTGTTACTGTTAATGTGGTTGTTGCAGGTATGCCTGTGTGTGCCACTCATCACACGACGCACTTTGCGTTTGTATCAGGTGGGATGCGCTCTCCGCTGTCGAGTACGTGAAGACGCTGCAAGAGATTGGCCGCCTCAATGCCACGCTGTTGAAGGACGCGCAGCTTCCAGCTGCCATCTGAGCACCCGTGTGATGTGCGACACATGCATGTGTGGGTGCTTGCTTGCGCCTTGCTTGCTGGCTTTTCTGTTTCGCATCATGTTTGCATTGTATGACTGTTGCGGTTGCTGCTGGCTTCTTGCTGTTACACGGATACCCCGGTTTCATTTTCAATAGAGACGTCGGTACATCTGTGCCACACGTGCATGTGCGCGTGTGCAGCATGTGGGGAGTGGGTGTGTGGGTGTGTGTGGGTGTGTGTGTGTGTGTGGGTGTGCGCACTTGAACTTGGTCATGTCAAGTGTCTGCGTGTACGACCCGGTTGGCGCGAAAATTGAATTTCAACAACAAGGAAGAAAAAAGAAGCAAGCAGCAAGGACATCAACGGTTATGTCCAGACGAGGGCAGGATCAAGCGCGTGGTGGCGGCGGCAGTGGTGGTGGTGGTGGTACGGCTGTGTATGTTGCAGCGGGACTTGCGTGCTTGCTGCTGCTCACCACCGCCCTGATTCAGACTTCAAGAAACCAGCCTGGTCCGCAGGCGGCGCGAGGAAGGAGCAGCCAGAAGCCAAATTGGGTGCTTCGCCAACAGCAAGCAGAAGCACGCAACAGCGCGTGGAACGTTGACCCGCAGTCATCTGCGTCTCCAACAGCGACTGCCACGACCACGACCACAACTACGACGGCAGCCACAACCACAACCACAACCACAACCACAACCACAACCACAACCACAACCACAACCACAACCACAACCACAACCACAACCACAACCACAACCACAACCACAACCACAACCACAACCACAACCACAACCACAACCACAACCACAACCACCGCAGTCGTGGATGCTGCTGTTGTTGAAGACTCCGTACTGCGACCAAGGATGGCAACGCTGCTTCGCAAGTTCCTGATGCATCCACCCAGGGTCCACGTGATTGATCTGAACGAGCCAGGGCGCGAGGATATCAACGGGCAGTGTGGTCGGCGCGTCAAACGACTGCTTGACACAGGCAACGGCAACCAGTACCTGTACAAGTTTGCATCAGAGCTGCTCTTGCCGCAGGCCATCAGGAACAGTGCACTGCACACGGACGATGCGGAGGCTGCTGATCTCATCCTCATCCAGTACTGTGTGATGATCTGGGGAATGCAGGGCGAGAAGATGATGGACATCAGGCCCCTGCTTGAAAAGCGACCCGTGCTGGCTCGCCGCTTTCAGCAGAACCCAGCTCGCTTCCTTGTTGTTCTGTCCAGCGACCACGGGCCATGTCACAACTTCAATGAGCACTTGACAGGCAGGAGGCTCGTCAAGCGGTGGATCGACCGGTCCCTAGAGAATGCCACGCTTCTCATGAACGACGTCAGAGAGGGCGCGTGTTCGCTTGTGTGGTTGCATATGTGTGTATGTGCGTTTGGATGTCGCATGTGCGTTTGGACATGTCGCATGCGGTTTTGTTTGTGTGCGTGCGTGCGTTTGTGTTTGTGTGCATGCATGTGCATTCATGACGCAGCACACGAACACATCACAATCACACGCTCATACTGTCTGCCTGTCCTTGTCTTGCGTGCGTGCGGGGTTTAGGGGAGTCTGGTCAACAAATGCTATCGGCCAGGAAAGGATGTTGTCATCCCACCCAGCACGTGGATCGGCAATGCGACGTTTGCGTGTTCACGCCCCATCACAGACCGGTGAGTGTAGATTTGGGGTTGAGCTCACATGCAGGAAGAAGAGCAAGATGAGCACAACCATTGACGACACACATGTGCACTGCGTCACTCGCTGTCTGCCTGACACACACTGACGCAAGCGCGCACACACACACACATACCACACGCATGATACAACGTGCCAGGAAACACTTTGCGTTCTTTGCCGGCGCCGCCAGCTCTCTCATCCGGGAGTACATCATCAATGAACTGGGCAATGAGGACTGGCTCTTCATCCCACATGATCTACAACACGAGTACGTCCGTCTGCAATACATTCGTGGCTGTGGAGAGGTGTTGCGTGGCACGAGAGCGAAGACGGAGCACCGCCCTTCAACGAATTCACGCACACACACACACACACATGCACGTTGCTTACTGCTGTGATTGCTGTCGCTGGTACTCAATGTAGGGAGTACATGTGCGAGATGGGCAATGCGGTGTTCTGCCTTGCGCCACGGGGGCGGGCGGCGTGGAGTCCTCGGCTCGTTGAAGCGTTGGAAGCAGGCTGCATCCCCGTCATCATCGCAGACATGAACCATGAGCCCTTCCACGATGTGCTCGACTACAGTACATTCACCGTCCAGGTCCACGAGGACAAGGTGTGTGTGTGTGTGTGTGTGTGTGTGTGTGTGTGTGTGTGTGTGTGTGTGTGTGTGTGTGTGTGTGTGTGTGTGTGTGTGTGTGTGTGTGTGTGTGCGGACATGCGATAGACGAGTGGGGGAGATGTCATGTCATTTATTGGCAGGAGAGAACAGCGAGCGCACACGCGCACTCGGAAATCAAAACGAGATGCAGGCCTGGACATGCACCACTTGACAAAAAGCCTGCAACCACGCAAGAACGCTCCATCTATGACCTCACAGGCACAAACACACACACACACGCACTCATTCACACGCAAACACACAGCTGGAAACGCTCGGGGAGCAGCTGCACAGCATCAGCAGTGGGCAGGTGGCACGACTGCATGCAAATGGACAGCGTGCGCGGGCACATTTCCGGTACCCACCACCCGCACGCAGCGGCGGTGTCGGCGGTGTCGACGGTGTGGTGTTGAGTGCGAGAGGGGATGTCAATGCACAGGGCGGGGAAGCGATGGATGCCGCGATGACGGCCGTGTTCTCGGCATGGCTGAGAATACAGCACAGCGAGGGGTGAATGGGGTACACACGAAGCAGCAGTCGAGCAGAGAGCAGGAAAGGAAAGGGCGGGGGAAGCAAGGCAGAGGGGGAAGGGAAGGGGAAGCAGTCAAGTAAATTGGAAGCGACGGGCAGTGCAAGGTGTGATTTAAGAAAGAAGGGCAGGGGAGAAACGAAAAGACAAGGAATTGCACGTGTGTGTGTGTGTGTGTGTGTGTGTGTGGAAACGCATCGAGTTGCGCACACATCCAACACGCATTACAGCACGCACACGTTCAACCATCAGCAAAGAGACACAGGCATGAAGCAAAAAGCTAACGCAAGACACACATCAAACAACCCTATCAACAAGCATGGGGGGCACGTGTCGCAAAAGAAGCACACGAATCAAAATGTAAAGGAGAGCGAGGGAGGGAGAGAAACAAGAAAGAGCGACAGAGAGACAGAGACTACAATGGGGATTCACCCATCGTGTTTCCACCATTCACACTCCCAATTCCACCACGAGCAGCGTTGTTGCCGTCGTCATTGTTCGCACTCTCCGTGTAGTCTGGAGGAGGCTGGGCATCATACCCATCCCGTCCCTCCTCCTCCTCCTCCTCCTCGGTCGCCTCTGCCAGCGTGTCGAGCGCAACAGCACCAACACCGCCGCCGTCGTCATCACCATCGCCATCGAGCAGCGGCGCTCGCAACGGATCACCGCCCGTTCCGCGGCGTCGCCTCTCCAGCAGCGATTTGAATGTGGCGGACGCGACGAGCACGTGGGTCATGGTCACCTTTCGGTCCACGCGTGTGCGTGTGTTCTTCTGGATGCGCACGCCGGCAATGCGGCCCACCATCACCCAGAGCAGCGGGATGGCAGTGACAGCCATCATCGCCCAGCCCTGTTCACACACGCACACGCACACACATCAGCAACAACAACAGAGCACACGCAGTGAGATGACGCAACATGGCAAAGGCCATGGACGCGACGATAACACAACACCATATACAGCGACACAACGGTAAGCACACCACCACCACCACCACCATGCACTGAGTCCACGGATACAACGTCGCGAGCGCACAAGCAAGGCAAACAGGAGGCGAACAGGCGAGCAGACGAGCAGTACCTCAGGGGGTGTGACGAGCACGAGGAAGACGCCGATGACAGACACAAGCGGCATCACAAGACACTTGGCAAGCACAAGCGGGCGCCACGCAACCAGGGTGGGGTCCTGGAAACGGCAGCGGGCAGAAGTGGAGAGGTGTGGTGGTGATGGCGGTGGTTGCGGTGGTGGTGTGTGAGACGGTTGGGAGTGCAACGGCGAGTAGGGTGGACATGGCGGGGAGAAGTGTGCCAGGACATGGGCATTCAGTCGAAGGGCATGCCCACACAGTTACAGATCCAGGCCCAGACCCAGACCCAGACACACAGACACATGCATGGAGGCAGGGCATGCACGAGATAAGGATGCACACCTGGCTGAGGAACTTTGGGAAGAACTTGAGGAGAGAGAGCCAATATGCGATGTAAATCAGACCAACAACAAAGTTCATCACCTGTGCAATCACGATTTACAATGCAGCGTGTGAGAAACTAAGTCAAGGGGCGGACGGAGGGTATGAAGGAGCCAGCACCTACACAAACTTGAGAAATAACAACAACTTACATCATCCCCACGACGACGACGACGACGACGACCACCACCACCACCACCACCATCATCATCACCACCACCATCATCATCACCACCACCACCACCATCATCACCACCACCACCACCACCGCACCATGACCATTACTCACGTAGAAGACGAAGACGGGGTCCCTGTGCCAAATGTAGGAATCCATTGACATGGTGGATGCCGTCGTTGTCGTGTTTGGAGTTGCGGTCGTGGTCGTGGTTGTGGTTGTGGTTGTGGTTGTGGTCATGCATGGGTTGCTAGCGGGCATTGGCGCCACCGTCGCAAATCGTCGCTCGCAATCGTACAGAGCAGGGTGGAACTTGTTTGGGACGAGTGCTTTGGAGGCTTGGATGCTGGCAAAGGGGACGTAGCAGGTAAAGGCAAGTACCGTCTGGTTGACCTGCCGCCACGCCGTCGACAGGCCGCAGATGTGCACAAATATCTGCTTGTGGATCACCCAGTACGCTGGTGGTGTGGAGTGTCGTGATGTGGGGTGGGATGGTGGTGGTGGAATGGATAGTGGTAATTGCGTGAGTGCATCCGGAGCGAATGTGGTGTCCGCCACAGTGGAACAACATAACAAGCGCACGCAGACACAACAACAACAACAACAACAACAACAACAACAACAACAACAACAACAACAACAACAACAACAACAACAACAACACACGAACGCGTACTGAGTGTGAAGAGAAAGGCAACGCCAAAGCCAATGATGAGGAAAGAGTTTTGTCGAAGGAATTTGAATAAAGTGTCCGACGAGTCCAAGCCGCGCGGCAAGGCCACGTCCAGCACAAGCAGCGTGGCGAGGATGGAGAACACGTTGTCCTGGAACGAAATGAGACGCGCCTGTGTCGTGGATACAAGCGCACATGAGTATGCCGCATGTGACGTGATCAGCATGCAGGACATGTGCCCGAGACACGTACAGCAAAAGGCTACATACACACGCACAGGCAAGCACAGCCGACCTTGTTGAGGGGCTGCCTGAGCTCCTTGTTCATGATGGCGCGAAACCAGGGAATGAAACGAAGCAAGCTCTTCATGGCCAAGTTGGAGAAAAGGAGCACGACGGCAATGGCCAGCAAGTGGTGCACAAGCCCCAGCGGCATGATGAGCAGGTTCATGCAGATGGTGAGGCAGAACTGTGCGATGAGCGCGTTGTAGTGGCCCTGCCGCTGTTCCTGCGCCTCCTTGGACTGGGAGTGGAGGCGGGCAATGGCATCGCCCTCCTGGAACACACGCACGCCATCCTCGCGCGGTGGGAGGTAGGTTGGATAGAACAGGTTGGAGCGCTTGGCGTAGTGCAGGGTCCCAATAGACACGCCATCGAGGATAATGAAGAGGACCTGAAACATGATGATGGCATATGCACCATCCAAGTACTTTGTCTCACTGCCCATTGTTGGTTGTTGGTTGTTGGTTGTTGTTGTTGTTGTTGTTGTTGTTGTTGGTTGTTGGTTGTTGTTGTTGTTGGTTGTTGTGTGAGGGGAGGCAGAAACATGACGCAGAGGAAGTCTCGCAAGACAAAGGCGGCGACAGCGAGTGAGCAGCCTGCTCAAGAAGACACGCATACGTGTCACATGCACGTGCACGCATGCACGCGTTCACATACGCACACACACACACACACAAGCACAAGCACCGATGGAACACGTACCCCCAAGTGAGCGCAGCCTTGACGGCAAAGGGGATGAGCGCCGTCAACAGGAGATAGATGGCGCTGAGGAGCGTGAGGGAGTCGTCCACGCGCTCAATGCAGTCGTATACCTTCACGTGGCGACCGCGCGCACGGCCTGCAGCGCAGACACGGGGACGATGAGAAAGGCAGGAGGGAGGGGTCACCAAGGAAGACAAAAATCAGCAACGGTACGGCGTGTGTGGAGGGCTTGCTTGTGGCGGATATGCAGGCTGTTTCCTAGTGGAGTTGGCGTACTTACAAACGAACTGGAAGCTGAGAAACGCGGACAGCAGCGTTGGGTAGTACTTCCTCCATTCTTCTGGAACAATGAGTCCTTGAGTGGTGACGAGCGGCAAGCTGGTCAACGTTGGGAGATCAATCGTGGCCGCAATGGCCAATGCTCCCTCCTGTACCACACATTGAGATGGGAAGGTGCGGTTGAGATGGGAAGGCGCGGGTGCACAGGACAAAACACGTCAATACAGGGAAGAACAGACAAGGCAAAGGAGCAAGTGGGCCACGCAGCAGCCTTCACACCACGTGTGGTTTCATTCGTTCATTCTCGCGCACACCACCACCAACAACAACAACAACAACAACAACAACAACAACAACAACAACAACAACAACAACAACAACAACAACAACAACAACAACAACAACCAAGAACAACAACAACAACAACAACAACAACAACAACAACAACAACAACAACAACAACAACAACAACAACAACGAGAAGCGAGAACTTTGCTTGTGGAAAAAACGCACGCAAAAGTTCATGAGCGAGGCTGGGGAGCTGCAGTAGCCGGAGTCGCCATAGGCGACGCCTTCCGACCGCCAATCCATGCCAGGTCCTCAGGTCCAGAAGCGGACGCGTGCGTGGGGATGGTGTTGGGGTGTGGTGATGTGATGCGTGTCACAAAAGCACCAACAGCAGCGAGGGGAAAATGCGGCAGGCAGAGCGACGCCAATTCGGTTCTGAACATTTGTGGAAGATACACATGGAATTCAGCAATGAGCCGACCTCGTACACTCGAAACAAGTCTACGAGTGGACTTGCGCCAAGCAAGGTCTTCAGCGCGTTCCATTCACGTTCTCTCCTTCTTCCATGCTTTGGTTGCATCTCATCTTGGTTATCCATCAACGAACACCAAGTACATCCAACTGCTTGTTTGTTTGTTTGTCGTAGCACTTGTAGAAGCTCTCAACTGAAGCAATTCTCTGCCCGCCTGCTTGCTTGCTTGCTTAAACCTCCCACTGGTGACGGTGTATTGAAGACCCACATTTCAAAGAAACCAACCAAGAGGAGAAACATCACCAGAATGAGCCAGCTGTTTGTTGTGCCATTGTTGTGGCTCGTCAAAGGGCATCCATCATGGCAAGCAAGTCATCCCCTGCACCCGTGTCGCTTGCGTGACGCGGCCTCCTCCTGCTCCCGCTCGTGTCGTCATCATCATCGGCATCATCAAAGTCCTTCATCATATCGCGCAGTTCTGTGCGTGTGCGTGCGTGTGTGTATGTGTGTGTGCGTGTGTGTGTGTGTGTGTGTGTGTGTGTGCGTGTGCGTGTGCGTGTGTGTGTGTGTGTGTGTGTGTGTGTGTGTGTGTGTGGGTGGTGGTGCTGGTGATGATGATGACGCCGATGATGACACAGGAAAAGAAGCAGCACCATCATCATCACCACCACCACCACCATCATCACCACCACCACCACCACCGCACCATGACCATTACTCACGTAGAAGACGAAGACGGGGTCCCTGTGCCAAATGTAGGAATCCATTGACATGGTGGATGCCGTCGTTGTCGTGTTTGGAGTTGCGGTCGTGGTCGTGGTTGTGGTTGTGGTTGTGGTTGTGGTCATGCATGGGTTGCTAGCGGGCATTGGCGC